ATACCTAATGCAGTCAGTTTTCCTTGCAACAAGGTGATTGCAGTTCATTCTTAATGGTTTTTAGTCTTGAGTGATCTTTAGCCATAACAGTTTGTGACCATAAGGCTCAAAAAGTCTTAGTATTGATTCAACATTTGGGAATGCCATCTGAATTTTATCTTTGATTATGACTTAATATAGGTCTTGGTGTTTAAAGTTAATTTTATTTATTTTTTAAAATTTTCAACTTGGAGAGGCCCCTCACCTGTGAGGCCAAAGCTATAGCTTTTCTAGCTTATACTTAAATCCAGCACCGCTCACATACCATTTTTTTTCAGGTGAGAATCATTACAGATTAACAAACATGGCATAGAAATTACCAATAGAGGAAAAAGTTAGTTTAGTATTCATGTATGGAATGACATGATCAGTGCTGGCAGGGGTGCTGAAGCCTATTCAAAAGTTTAAGTTTGGCAGTGTTAATTCCTCTGCCATCTTTCTTGATTTGTTTTCATTCCTATGGTGTGCAACTTATGAGACACCCAGTTCAGAACAACATAAAAAAAGGTATCAATCTTACCATTACTATTCCTACTTTTCTTTTACTCTCCTTGAATATTTTGCTCTTCAGTAAAAAAAGATCCTAGAATTTGAAAGGTGCAATGAAGGGGTTAGATAAAATGGCACATAACATTTATTAATAAAAAACTCAATTTTTTATTAAAATTACCAACACAATTTGATTTTACAAAATCTAATAAACAATTTATTATATCACAAAATCACATCAACTTAAGACTGAGATTCATATCGTTGTTAAACTTGAAATAAAACAGAGTTAGGAACTACATGTTATGACATGCTAAATACTCATTAAATCTAATATTCTGAATACTGCATTAGAGTAATTTGTAAGAAATACCTGATAACAAAGAAAAAAATCACACTAAAATTGAATATAAATTTATTATCAAGTGATATTCTTGCCTTTAACTGTCTATTATACACGCTTTTGACAACATGAATGCTATACTATAAAGAAATTATAAAGATTGTGAAATTATTGACAAATCTCGCAAAATAAGCTGCAATAAAAAATAATACATCAACAGGAATATTAAGTAAAAATAAAAAAGGATCTTTTGTAGCCGAGCACTGCTGTACTCACCCCCAACACTGCCTTACTATCAAAATCAAATTCAGTGATTTCTTCAGAACCTTTTTTTCCAATCTTTATTCGCTGAAAGTACATGATAATATGAACACTAACCATTTGACAACTATTAACTTATATCTTACCCATAACATTCATAGTATACAGAACATCAGCTACATTAAAAAGATTTTCATACATGTGGGAAATTCTTTTTGGGAATATCTACCCTTACTCTTGAAAAATACAATATGCCCTGGCCAATTCTCCACCACAACTGCAAATTCTAGACACAGTTGTAATAAAGTATGTGATGTGATCCACAAAATGGAAAGCCAATCTTAAAATTGAGTTAAAAGCACAAGCAAAAACAAGTAAAATAAAGCAAACCATCTCGATTTTTTTTTTACTTCTTTAGAGCTGCAATATGGCTGTTAAAGATCAAGGCTTATGACTTTTTTTTTTAGATCAGGTCACATATTATTTTGTTGTTACCATTACAAAGTAAGTTATTGATGGTGAAAATATAAACATTGTATTCTGGCATTTCCTTATGTAGAGTAAGGGTCCCTAACTGATGAAGAGTTACTAGTACATCTTGTACAAAATACTCAAAATTTTCTTTGCATATAATGAACAAAAATAAGTCTACAACTAAAGCATTATTAACATTAATACCGAGTTCCTAAAATGCATAAAAGCTAAACCACTAAGAGATACACAATGTCTATATATATTAATACAAGTATATCGCCTGGGACCAGCATCTTACTAATACAGTACTGTACTGAGTTGAGTCCTGATGTGAATATATTTCAGTACTCTAACCATGTCTAAATGCCATAAAGTTACTACAGAAATCTGAATCATAAAAAAATACCCTCTCTCCTTAATTCAACGAAGAACTTATTTTACAAGCATGGACTTTTGATTATCTTACCCTTCCCGTACCTTTGGCGACTTATTCCTACTGAAAAACTGCCCAGGAGTGCTCAGTGCTGCTCCTGACCACCTAAGGTTGTTCCCGAATGCCCAATGATGAATAGGAGTGCTTGCAGTCCCTCTTACCTCCCTCACTTTACCCGTGTCCCCCAAATATCCTTATGTGATGCCTCCTTTAGGTTCCCCTGTGTTCCATCATGTTTCTCACTCTTCCAATACAGTACTTTTCTTAGTGGAGCTTCATAATTACTTCCTCTTTTTCCTTCTCTTGATCTCTATTCTATGTTCCTCATCATCCTTCCATATTTTTGTATCTGCTCGTTTTCTTTTCAACTGCTGCAATTTCCTTTCAAAACATTAAATAATAAAAAATAGTTCAAGTGTTTTCTTTGCATAGTTTTAGTCATCAATGAAATCACATCTATGATGAAAGTATAAAACAAAGCAATCACTGAATAACCAACCAATTTTTGAAATCCACAGTGAACCTTGATGTACCCAGAAGTCTTACAATACACTTGTCATCTGCCTTGATAAAATGGTTGTAATCATTATCATTAACTAAACAGTTAAAAAAGATCTACAATATCAGATCTATCCACCTTACTTAAAGAATTTAGTCTGGTGGGCCCGTCCTAATAGACTCTAATCCTCTGGTCAGGTTGGGGCCTATTAGGACTGGAGGCTATTTGACTTGTAACCAGAAGTAAGGGGGCAGCAGGGGGCTCCAAGGTACTTTTCAACAGGACTCTGATACCTTAGCAAAGTTCATTCATCATGTCTGACATCCTCCCAAAACCTTATCCTTTAATTCTACTTATACAGTGGGGGTATGCTATAACGAACGGATCCTACTACGAATATTCCTATAACGAACGGTTTTACCTATAAAATTGAGAATGCTATAACGAACGAAACTCCTACAACGAACATTTAAAAAAAAAAAAAAATTGTTTTTTTTTACTAATTTATTGTTTTTTTATTACAAGTATTAATGATACTCTTTATTTCAGGGGTTTAGATGCATATTTATGCACTTTTTTACAATTTTTACAATTTTATATTATATTTTTCAGTGTTAAGTGGTTGTATTTGGGGGCCTGGAACGGATTAATCCTATAACGAACAAGGTTCTAGAACCAATTAGATTCGTTATAGCATACCCCACTGTACCATTTTTCTACAAGAATTTACAATGGCTCCTTCTGAACAAATGAATAAACTGTACAGTACTATGCATCACAAAAGAACTTTGCTATTATGGAACTTACTTTCTTACCGTTTATTCCTGACTGTTCTCGATACAAAAGGTGATATTCTTTCTTTGGATCAATTATGTGTTTATAGTGCTAAAGTATCTATAACAGCAGGTGACACAAACAGCCATAACCTGATCTAACACAGGATCATTAGGATAGTTGGTGGCGTTTTGTATTATCTGCTTCATAGGCGTTTTAGAGCCATAGTTTCCCGAAGGATGGTAAACTTACTGTGACACTAAATCTTTTCTCAGTCAGAAATAATATTCACCCATTTCATGTAAGCAGCCACCAAGTATACACAATAGTCAAAGTGCTTTTATGATTATTCACATCTTCAGGAAGTATCATACAAGAACCATAAAAAACCTTGGACATCAGTGTTACTATTTCCCAAAGTTATCTGCATATTATACAAATAATTTGTCATCACTGATTTTAAGTGCAATAGCCTAATTATCAGCAACATACATCAGATTCTTCTCTATTATGCTGGTGTTATTATATAAACAATTTTTATAACACCCACTTAAAAAAACTTTATACTGTACTGTAGTTCACAAATCTCTGTTACTCAAGACACGGCACAGTATATGGCACTAACCTACTTGTGGAAATTACTATCGGAAGTGTTGTACTACTCTTATGAGTCGCTGTAATATGTTTATTATCTTGTGCATCAATATCTTCACGCTACACGTTAAATAATACATCCACCTCACGACAGCTCAGATCATGCAAGTGAGATTCTAAATCTATTAACGTCTCCCTTACCCCATGGCCGAACTGGCATGTTTGTGCGTGACGGCAGACGTACACGTTAAATGGAGTTATCAGAGCATGGGGTAAGAAAAGGGTTAACAGCAATTAAAACTAATAAACTACATTTTATACAAAATACATTATGAGACACACGGCCCAATTATGCTCAACATCTTTGTTTACCTTAATGGCAGGAGGATCAGGGGAGGCTTTCAGGAAATGCCCTCAAGTTAACCCATATATTTCTACCAATGGATGCATGTCAGGGTTTTCACTTAAAGTTTGGTAAAGGACCTAAAGGAGATTTGAACCTTGAACCATTAAGACATGAAAAAAACCTACAATGCACTTAAGTAATGAGATGAACATGAGAATGTGTTCTTAGATTAACAAAGGCCAAGTTATTAATTTTCTCTTTATCAGAACCAAGTAAATTATGCCCATATGTCAAATGAATCCAGTATGCTTGGCCATAAGCCAGTTTAAAATGAAAACCCTGCACAATATATCCTTTACCTGGCCAATTCTGGTTATAGTCTCAGTCATTGCCTGAAAATATAGTTAATTTAAGTTAACACCTTAAGAATTTAGCATCAGTGCACAGCATAACCGGTACAGTTCTAATTGTAAGTTACATCTTTTTTGGTTTTAATTATGGTTATAGCCTTAGAGCTTTACTGAAGACACTCCACCATAATACATAGGAAAGGTCTATAGTACTCAGCAAGGACAATAAGAGGTCATAAACTATGTGCTACAGGTGAATGAATGAATACTTTTCTCACATCCCCTCCCATTCTTAATCTAATTTTGCCTCTTTATTACCCTTTAATTCCACTGAACCATCACTCTTAGTTGGTATCAGTCACATCTATATGATGATTTAGTGGAAGAAAAAAGCAAAATTACTGCAGTAGTTTCTTTTTTTATTGACATCACAATCAAACATTTCAGTTACAATATTTTGTGTAGTATTAGATGACATATATGTACAATCAAAGACAAAAGTTGTGTCACGGTTTTGTCCAGATTAAATATAACTCGTGAAACATTACGAGAGCCCCCTACCACAAGGCAGAGTGCACCAAAAGTTAAGCCCTTCGGCATATGTTTTCACCAAATTTCACGACACGACTTTCGTCTTTCATTGTAACCATAGTAAAAAAAAAAGTATTGCGCATGGGAGGTCTGTTGACTTCTGTAATGATACATACATCACCTGATGTGCCGGGAGGGTTGGTTATGCGTGTTCATATTCAGTTGTACAATCAACTATATATACGGCAGGATATGTCGTTAGCAACAGATAAGAGGACGCCCTCAAGCAAGGAAAGCAGGTCTACCACCATAATACAGGACCAACGCGCATATTCCACTATCCCTCGTCCGTGGTGTCATATTGTTTCACACATAATCTGTGCGGTATTTTTTTTACTGTGTGTACCATCATCATACATCAAAACAGTTATCAAGGCTTTCAAAATACTTCATCTCATGAAGCACTTGCTAGCAATCGGAAAGTTCTTCTTAAGAAAGTGGCTGGGGTCAGAATGCTAAGACCTCACATTTAATACCCAGCACCAGAGACAAGAGAAGTAAACGGCAGTAGAGCCAAGTTTAGGCAGAAAAGGTAAAGGATATCGATCAATTCTAAAAGCCTCGAGTAGTCAGGATAAACTCGAAACTGTATTTCAATTGCAACAGCTAAAACTGAAGTGTGATAGCACTTGTTTAACTCAAGTTCAGCTGTGTCACTTCCTGTAACCATAATCTATCACCACCACCAATTTAAACCAGAGTTACAGTATACAGGGTAACATTGAAAAGATACTGAACAGTATTAATATTCTCCTGTTCATCAACTGTTGGTTTCTTGTCTGCGTAACTTGCAAAATACCTTCACAAAACATTATCCTCATGAATTAGAAAAAATAAATACTAGTGCATCATTGTTAAAATATGGAAAATACTTCATATTTCCTACAACTTGTAAAAATGAACAATTTAAATACATTATTAATACCCAAACCAATTTTCCGTTGCTTATGCCCCACGATGGATATGTTTACTCTGTGGCGGCCTTTTTGACAAAAGCAGTAATTGCAGACATCTCCGAGGGTTCCGTGGCCAGTCTGCTAAACTCTATTTCCTCCCCAGTGCTGCTCTGTGTGTCTGTAACAAAAGTATCAAATTTACACATTTTATAAATTCCTTGTTCTTACTGATGTACGTTAGCTAATGCTAACATACAGAATCAAATATTATCAATGAACAGGCCAAGCAACCACAGGTTAAAGACTGCAAGCATTAGTAACACATTTGCTTGTCTGGCAACATAAGACACCTTTATGAATACTGTACTGTACAGTAATTTTGTTTACATCTCCACATAATCTACAACTTGCACTTATACACAGAACTTTTAGCTGTGGGAAATGAAGACCCAGGCCCTGAGTCATCATTCTCTGAGCACAGCCCTTGACCCTAAACAAGACCAAATTTTGTCTGGTACAAAGACTAATAGTATCAGCTTTATTTCAAGGGTAAAGAAGCCATTTTGGAGAAAGATAGAGAAATGGGCATAAAACCAACATAATACAACTTAGATGAAATAGTCACATTCATCCGAGCACCTCGAAGTAATGTATTTAGTACGTATTTATTTAAATATACAGTAAATTATTCCACTTCACACCTAAATGTTTAATTGGTCATAAAATTTCATTATAAAACATTGTAGAACACAAAGAATTTCTGCATACTACAAAACCAAAACAATATTGTACACCAATCAAAATAGAGCAACAATAAAAGGAAAGGAACCCTCTCTCCACCTAAGGGCTCCTGAGGACTCGAAACCATGGCCTTCTCAGCTTTTCACACAGCCTACCACCTCTCCCAAGACCAGTAACAGTACTTGTAGTGCCTACATGAATGACTGGCAGCAACAACACCCTGGCCTCAGTGAGTGTCTACAGCCCAGTCCCCAAAGCCACATTAAGATGCTTGTTCTACCCAACAGCTGCGATAAATGTGAAAAATTTTCTTGGACAAGATGAGGTAGGAACTGTAACTTTGTTAATTGTCTGAATCAGGAGACCCAGACACTGAGCACACTGAGCACAGAGGTGTTTGAAGGTGTTATTCTCAAGTCATCACCAGCTGATGCAGCTGAATGTTGCCACATTATGTTTAATCAATTTCCAGTGATGACTGACATCAGCAATGCTAGGGAACTAACCCAAACATTATCAGTATCTGTCGCCACCATCGGGGCAACACTCCACAAGTTGCTGTCATTATCAAACATGGGGAAGGAGTGTCCAGCTGAGCTGGTAATTCTCAAGACCTGTCCTCTGTGTTATCTGTTCACACCAGGGACACCAAGACTGCCTATTACCAATATGAATTACCCACGGTGCAGGTCTTGCTCCATACATTACACCATTGCTCTGGCCTCTGCGCCCAGAAAATCAGAGACCATTGTCACGGTCGTCAGAATAATGCTGACTCGTGGTACTGTCCTAAATGCCCATCTGTTCCTAGTGAATAACACCCTCCTCCTACAACCAACACTTTCACTGCCCTCCACCAGGCCACCCTACTCAGCTGACCTCACTAACCCCCGCTCTACCAGTTGCCAAGTCAGCACCTGCTGCTCCCCCATCATGGCCACAGCTAGATGTCACCAGTTGCTTTGTACTCTGATGCTACTGCCAAGTCATCAGGTTCTCCCTCCCCCCCTCCTCATTGAGACAGGTTTCCTGTCCCTCCTTCACATCTCAAGTGACACATGGTGGAGAAGAGACATCGGTTTGCATACCTAATGCAAGCTTCCCTACAACCATCAACAAACTCTAGCAAACAATGGTGACCTTTGCCACCACTCACTAACTCACTACCCTGTCCTGGCTCTTATCAGGCTGGTTATTCCCCTGTGAATTATGCTTCCCCATTGCCGTCCAACATTGCAGACGCAGCTCCCGGCCGGCCTTGCCCACTTTGTGCCTTTACACTTGCCCGACTTGTTCACTCTTGGCCAACCAAACTTGCTCTGGCCTCTGATTGACATAGGTTTGCTGTCCCAGCTGCCATGCACACCTCCAGCACCCTGCCTATTGGAACCTCCATGGACACTCCTGATGCCTACACGTCACAAATACTGTACACTAAAAGTATGCTCTCCAGTACAGTAGTGTCAGTGTGCCTCCCTCCACCCCCACTGTGCCCATCCTGCCACGTCACATCTCTTCCTGACCAAATGTCTCTCCACCTAGTGACAGTCCTGGCACAGTACAGTATTATATTAGAGATCTACCACACTGCTATAAACAGATGAAGTGTACAGGGAATCCTCCTTATATACTCAACTCTTACTTCACCACATGTAACTTGCCAGCAAAATTAATGGCCCCCTGAGGCACTCTCGTCCACCCAGCATATAAGTCTAAGAAGGCAAGCATGAAATCTGTGTGCTTCCCTGTTGGGTACTTTAATACTAATATGCTTTGCCTTACACAGGATATAAGGGGGTGCCTAATGAACAAGTCCCTGCACTGCTTGGGGGCAAATCTGAAATATGATACAAGCAAGTTAATTTCTGGAATGCAAATTATTTATAGGCAACTAAGAATGCATTCGTCTTGATTGAAACTGGTACCAGATTTAAAAGGGGATGTATTGTTCTATGGATCTGAGTTTTGGGAAAAGGGTCATTAGCCAATGGTGGCTGTCAAGGTAGGTCAGTTTTAAAAGGCACTCCAGTCAGTCAGAAGGACAACCACAGGTGCACTATAAATATTACAATTTCCTCACCAATCAAAACATTAAGAAGAATCTATGAAGTTGTACACAGGTTAAGGATCCCTGCAATAATCAGCCCATGACCTACCTTTAAGGAACAATGCCTGGCCACCATTTTAATGCTACACCAAAAAAATGACCCAGGAAAAAATAATCACCATTATTTTAGTGAATATATCACTAAATGTTGTATAATATAATCTAATGCATAATTTTCCCCACAAAGCTTGGGTGATACTGCCATCAAGTGTTGAAACATTATCCCCTTCTAATGATGCACCACAAACACAAGGTTGACAGGGAGAGCATGACATGCCCGGAAGCTCAGGGATGTCCGGAGATATTATTTCCACAAAGTTCCAGTTCCTGTATCTCATGTCTAGGCTATTTAAATGGCTACCAGTGCCTGTAGTTACAGCTTTAAGATAAGTTTGAAGCCACTCGGTTAATGTTTAACGACACAACAAACTGCCGAGAATGAGATGGTGCAGCAACTCGCATTAACACGAGTAAGATGGGGCCTTTAAAAATTCCCACACACATCCAACTTATAGGTATCATATCTAGTCCAAAATCCATGGTTACAGTACCCATTCTAATACTGTACATAAGATAATTTATATTTCTCAGATGTTAACCTCTTCACTCCTAGAGAGCAATTTGACCTTATTGTGCTTATTGTTTTATTGTCCCATTTTCATTTCTTATTTCTCAGTGAATATTTACAATACAAAACTATTTAGCTACAATACCAATGACTATCATGGGATAAAATGTGGATAAGGGAGCTTTTTTTTTTTTTTTTTAATTTCTGGTTCCCTTTCTAAAATAATTGATTTTGTATCAAAACTAGAGAAAACATACCTTAAGAAACCCCAAGTTTCTCATTTTAGTGAGATTTCCTTCCTATTTTTGGTGCATAAATATTCAGTCACATACTCACGAACACATTATTATTCACATTACAGTATTACCACTTTCACAAGTCACTCCCACACACGCACACCATCATAATCACCCCTCTCACCATAACAATAATCATCATAAACACCACCACCATAGTTACCCGCCACACCACCTACAATGTAGGATATCAGAGCATTCTACTGAAGCAGGTACATCCTCTGGTGCATTGCTTGGTGTTCAAAGATGTACAAGGTGTCTTTTGGCTTTAAGGGTTAATATGGTTGGTGGCTTGTTTTTGAGGAAACCTTCGTAAGTCACAAACTTTATATGAGACTGTACAGTGTAGATGACTTTTCCCATTTTTATAATATGCATATCACTATATACAATTCCCCCCAAAAAATATAGTTAGCTATGGGGTCGATTTGATTCAAGGCTTTCTGAGCAATGTTACTCAATCTGTTTCTGAATGGTTGGTAGTTCAACATCCACAACCTTTGAGCAAAGATGAGTATACAGTATACGTTTTTGAATGATCATACATTCATACAGCTTAATGGATTTCTCGTTATATTGAAGTATGTAGTATGCCACACAAGGACGACTCCCTCCCCTAATCCTACTCCTATCTCTCGCTGTTGCAGATATGGCCAGCAGGAATACAACTTATGATGAGGCACTGGGGATCATATCTAAGCATTTGAAATTGTAGAGATGGAAAATCTAATGATACCTTTGTTGGGGACTGTACAACTGAGAGAGAGAGAGAGAGAGAGAGAGAGAGAGAGAGAGAGAGAGAGAGAGACCTTTGTTTGCAATTATGCACAAGACACAGGTCAAATACTACAAGCAACCAGGAATTTTCCAAATTTTGTATTTTTGGAGCTACAGTCATTTCTGCTACAACGCGTGTTTTGTCAATGCGAGTTGGCTATAACGCGATTGATGAATAGAAGAACGATATTTGTAAAATGCGAACGCGTGTTAGCTGTAATGCGATTCCACTTGAACGTTTAAAGTGTACTGTCGCTTGGTGCGGGGTTATGCAGTGTTTACAGTTCACATTCGACATCACATGTTCAATTGATTCATGTGTTTTGTTTGACAGGGATACTATAAATTTAATCCTTTTATTGCCAATTTAGCTGTTCCCATAAATACTGTATGCAAAAAATAAATAAAAATAATGTTTCGCAGTGCGGACTAATAGCGTTTTACACCCGCGCTCTCTGTTCCCATCACACGATCAGATGAAACACGTGGGTTGTTTTGAAGCGTCCTCAGTGATTTTTGCTTACCCGGTACTATATCTTCAATTTTGTGGTATTAACTGTGTTACATTTACTGTATGATTTCATTATTAGATATGAATGTAACATTTATTTAGACCATGCTATCCTTTGTGTTAGGCTAACTACTAATTTTTTTTTTCGATTTCAAGTAATCTGCACCTAACCCTACAACGTGAGGTTTTTCAAGAACACAACTATAGCATTGTAGCAGAACTGACTGTACTTCTGAAAACTCCAAGTAAAAAATCCCAGCCCTGAACTTTCCTGTTTGTCACAACCTTCACCACACAATGATTCTGTCTGTCAGTAATCCTTATCAATAGTATTATTTCCAAAAGCAAGACCAACCTTACTAAAATGAACCAAGACTACCAATGCAGGTCATGTATGTCCTAGCTAAAATTTCTAAATCAGACAGGAACCATAACTCTGATAAAGGAGGATGGAACACACTGAATATCATCTTCATTCTATACTTTCTTAAAAAGAAGCAGCAAACCAAATATAATTACTAACACAAAAGAACCATCATCAACAAGGACTCTCTGTGAAAGAAGCTGAATCAAGAAATACCTAAAGTAGTGACTAAGTGGTCATAATCAACTTCAATTTGAGTTCCTAAAAACGTTTGTTGGTCCATTACAGAGCAAGTCAATCGGGACTGGTGTTGACAGAGCCGACTGCTGCAACAGACAAGAGGAATGTATTAACAGAACCAGTTGCCTCAATAAGAACAAGCAGAAAGCATGGGAAAACCAAGGCTAGAGGTAAAGCAAGAGCACAAGATCAAGAAAAGCAGCAACACTTGATGGTTTGTGTGGAAGACTAACCTGGACTAGGTACTTCCGAACATATCGTAGTACTGTATCCATATTTTCATTTACATCATTACCCAAGATACCTGAAACAAGATTAATGATTCTCATGAAACCAACATCACATTTAACCATTATTAACCTTGAAATAAGAAAGGGGTCAAGAATGTTGGCCATTAGCTGCCGAGTTATGGTCCAAATTGAACAAAAATCCATGATCGTCAATATGGTCACAGAATGGGTTATTTTTAAGCTTTTCTCCACCCAGTACTCAGACATCCTCCTCAGCTTCAAGTAAGCTCCTCATACACAATTTGTGTCCCATTTTTTGGAATCAGGTTATTTATGTTAATCACAAAATTACTGGCCAAAAAGATAAATATATTGAGATACTAGAGAGATCCTCAAATGTACAGCCCATTTGTTTCTAATTAAAAGCAATAAACCTCAGGCAACTTTTATCTGACCATTTGTAAGACCATCAGCAGGATACACTCAACTTCCACTCTTACAAGCGTTGTAAAAGAGGAGTACTGTCTTAAGAAACAATGTAACTTCAATGTTTAAATGAAGCTAAGGATGTCAAATATAAGTTCTGTTGGACTTCAAATAAGGCAAATTCAATATTAAGTAACAAGAAACTTCTAGCTAATAAGTAAGCCCTTGACAGATTCATTTACATATAAAGTAGTATAGTCTGGGTTTACGCGGCTAATTTAACCCAGGGAGGTCGGCGTATAACAAAAAAACGCGTAAATAAAATAACAGAACATATAGGATTAATTGAAATAGAAACTGGGCCGACTGCCAGACTACCCCTTTTCCGACACAATACGTACGTTGTAGTAAATATAGCATCTTAATTTTATGATGGTATGCACACACAATTAATATTTAAGAGAAATATCAATAATATTAGGTTTTTTAACACTTACGTTAGTAGAAGAGATGGCTGGGCACACGGGGATGGGGGGTTGGTTCCGAGGCAGAGGACAGATTATTGGCCCTCACCTGTATCACTTGTATCACCTGTATCACTATCCACCACAGAGGCTAGCAGGGCCTCCTTGTCAAACCCCTCAAAGTCCATATCTTCACTATTACTATCACTGACTTGGGCTGGCCGTGGTGGGTGAAGAACTCTGTAATGTTTTGTTGACGGGAGACAATGGGACTGACGCAGTCAAGGTCATCGACTCATCGCCCCTGGTGGCAGGGCAAGCAAAGTTAAGTTGACCAATCACAGCTCGCGGCGGAGTGGGTGCATGGGTGCTAAGGATACGTGGCCCAATCACAGTCCGCGACGTCAGCGACCAGCAGCTTGCCACGTAAATTAAGGAATGTACTGCGTAACTAATAATTGGCGCGTCTGGATAGGTGCCGCGTAAATGGCCAAACGCGTATAAAATATCCGCGTAAACCCAGACTATACTGTAGTAAAAAAATAAATAATAAGAATCTCGGTTAAAGGACCGACCCACATACAGTACTGCACAGAGGTATTCAGAACTGTGTAGGTGAAACCAATAAGCACTGATGGAATGACAGACCATGCGAGATGTTTGACGCTGGGGTACTGAAAGGCAGAAAAGGCCACTGGAAATGGTACACCCCCTTAATAAAAATTGGATACAACTCTAAAATTAACTTAACTACTAACATACCTAACAATCCCAAGCAAGAACCTGCCTTAATACACCTTCACTCCACAACTGAAAGCAAACCCCTGAGAAGTTCCTGAGCAAACACCAAACCTGTCATGGGAGAACATCACTCCTATGCCCTCCAGAACTTTGGGATCAGGGGATAAAAGAGCAAAAACCTCTAAGAAAAATACTCAATTCTCCATTTCTCTGTAGGTATACACAATATAGCATCTATAAACACAGAACAAATACACTGCCAGATCATATGGATGAACCACTTCATCCACACTAACTGAATATATCAGATGACTTCGCCATACATGGTTTGCCTAGTTACTCCTGAGAAGCATTTTCTCAATTTCATGGTAGTTTTGATCTTTCTCTCTCTCTCTCTCGTGTAACATATATATACACACACATTACTTTTATGTATCTATATTTACATCTATAAGACATGTAATAACATATACAATCCCCATGGTAGACCATAACTAGAACACATCGTTCCAGTGACTCTAAACCTTTTGTCAACTGTGAAACTATTTGCCTCGTGGGCAAGACCTTCGTACAGCCCAACTCAAACAACAGAACTGTATTATGAACAACAGTATTATGAGATATACATAGTAATGTATTTCTGAAACATGAATAAAAAAGTAATACCTTTTTATGCTTAACATGCCTTACCTGTGGTTACTGGGTCAAGTGGCCCCCCAGTTATAATAGACTCCAACCTAAGCATTGGGAGTAAGCCCCAAAACATATGGTTACATTAGCTTAGGTTGGGACTAATCGGGATTGGGACCCATCTGACCAGTCAACTCATCAGTATATCAAAATACAACTGAAATTATAGTAAATTAAATTTAATCTCCTGGGATGAAATCCTCATATCCCAAAACATTCACAAAACTACAAGTAAAAGTTTGTTAAACTCAAGTAACAAAGCACTGGGCTGTCATCACCACACTAATACCTATATTAGGTGGCCTGATAATACCTCACAGCACTGACCTTTACATAAGCATATGGGAAGCATATAAGAACTTGTTAATCCATAGGAGCATTAAGAAAATAAAGGCATCCATGAAAGACACCTGTAAAAAGCTACGTACAGTATAGTAGTTACGTCTTACCTCGTGCCAAGAGTGCTCCGTGAATTGATGCTAGACCTATAAGTGCCAGGAGTGCAGAGGTTAGTGGACTAATAAACTGTACAAGGAATTAAATATATAAGCTAGGATAAAGCAGGTGTCTAGATCAAGCAAATCTGCATCATAAATATATGTGAGCTCAAAGTCAAGAAAAATATCTTGAGGGAATAACATTCTTGGCAACTACAGTCCATGCCACTCCAATTATTTCAGGGTAAGTCATTACTCAAAAAGCAGAAAATTCTGCATATGATCTGTTATTATCAAGGACAGACTATCTACCTCAATAAACTTGTAATTGCAATGTATGTTATATCCTCATTGCTTTTGTTTTTTTCATTGTGACTGATGGTGCAATGAATCAAAGATGAATTTATATAACTGCTGAGACAATAAAATAAGTGCCTTTATGAGAAAATTGTGCTCCAACTGAAGAGATCAAATTCCTCAAAAGACAAGATAAAAAAGAGTACAACATTCTTAACCCCTTCACTAATATGCAGGACCAATAGCACATTAAATCCCTATCGAGTACATAGATACAGTACACTTGTTATATCCAAAATACTAAACACGCACTGTAAAAATTTTCACGCAATTACAGTACAACCATTATTGGATACTTTGCAGAGTTTTTATGTGATATTCATGTCTGTGGTCCTGGAGAAATTTAGGTTCAACCCACCAACTGTCTTCAGCCAGCCAGAAACTTTATCCCTTTACTATTACACAACAGTCTCTCCTCGACTTACGACGGCCATGGTTGTATAAAATATTTTTCACATTAAGTATTTTCGAGTCCCGACCTTTGGTTGTAATGTGACGCCGTATGATAGCTTGGGCTAGGCCGCCTCGTGGTGTACAGCATCCACGTCGTAGCCCGCTCAGTTGGTGTTTGGCCATCGTTGTTGTTAGCGATTGCGCTGTGTACCGACAAAATTTTCGTTTGTAAATTCCCTTTAAAGTGGCTGGCAAGCTTAAAAGTGAGAGGTCTCGTGGTGCCGAGAAGAAAAAACGACAGTCTATGTATTATTTTCGCCTTTTCGACTTACGGCCTGGTCGTCGGGATGGAACCCCGTCATAAGTCGAGGAGAATGTCTACATAAATTTCTTAAAAGAGTTATATAAGCTTCTCGAAAAGACATACAAGTTTCACCATAGGAAATATATAGTACAATACTCCATGACTTACAAGAGTAAAATATCGATATGCAAATTCAATATATTGTACTGTACTGATATCATTATGCAAATTTGTCAAGACACAGCAAAGGGGTTAAAAACCTAAGCCTCTATGAACAAACAGAAGTGTAGCTATAAATATTAGTGCTAAAAGTCTTGTAAACTGCTGGATAATGTGTGGAAAAAAATTAAAGTAGTAAGCGAGTTACAAGGATTAATACAACCCTTGATAGGTAAGACGCTCAGGCATGTTGAGAGAGGACTAACACACCTCACACAGGAAGAAGTGATACATAAGCAGCAAGTCTGAGTTATTTTATAGCGTGAAGTGAAGCACGACTTAAGTTGCTCTGGCATCATGCTCCCCAGAACACATTTTAGAGTAAAACCTCAAAAACATAAACCTCTGAGGCTTCTGGATGAATTGAAAATAAAAATAAAGTCTGTGCAAGGAATATTCAGTTAAAGCAAGACTTAATAAAGTACAGTAGCTGGAATCCCTCATACCTGGAACTCTCTGATAGCCGGAATTGAAATTCTCAGAAAATCATTCCCAAAGCCGGAAATTTCCGGAAAATTCCGAGAAAATTTTCCCAATACCCAGGAAATTCTGGGAATTGGAGACTTTTTTCTGGGTTTGAGAGATGATGTAATGGGCAATTTCTGGAACTTCTCAGAAAAATTTTCCGTGACCCAGAAAATTTCGAGGTTGAGGGATCTTTTTTCCGGCTTTGAGAGTCGTCTCGTTACGCGGAAATCTCTTCATTCCCGGAAGTGCTCTGCACCAATTGTTCAGGCTAACAGGGAATTCACTATACTGTACTTTAAAAGTTCTGCAACAACAAAAAGCATCCATATTTTCTGCCAGGTGTCAAATTTCAAGGTCAGGAGGATGAAAGGTAATTTAATAAGCAATGAGTTGAGCAACGGTAGATAAGCGCACTTAAAATACGTCTTCTCAATAAAGGTACAGAAACAAGAAAGAGAACACAGAAAATACATAATGAAAATGTACATAGAAAATAGATGTATGAACTGAGTACAGAAGATGGACACAGTAGTTAGGTTCACAAGAAAAATTAAAAAAAAATCTATGAGAAAGGA